CTCTGCCTCACTTTGTAGGCCCTGCCTGGCCTATTCCCTCCTGGGATGCAGTCTATAGAAACGGCCTGACAGCTGGCATACTAAGCAGCTTTTCCTGGGGCTGAGCCATGGGAGTGTGGCCACTTGTAGGTGAAACACTAAACAGCCATTTTCCTCTGAAATCAGATCTGCCCTCACTCCAAAGCTGCTCCATATAGACTTGACCTTTGCCTCGATTCAGAGTGGGGCACAAAAAGTTAGAGGTAATAATGTTGATGATTTCCTATTGCTGAGAGGAGTGAAAAGACCTTATCTGCCTAGGAAACAACACATCTGGGAATGTCATGCCTGCTGGGCCCTGCTGACTTGCTAAGCAAGTTCCTCTGTCCTTGAAAAGTTAAGTCTTTCCCTACCATCAGAACTGGCAGTAGAAAATGCCCTTTTCTCTGTGCTCCCACCTCCATCTCCACTCCAGTCCCAAAGGAGACAAGAATCCCTTTGGAAAGGTTGCTTTTAATTGGAGACAGCAACCAGGGATCCTTCGTCATTTCATTTTAAGATCATAGACTACAATACTTGGAAGGACTTTCTAGGCCTTTGCCTCTGGTCAGGTAATTGTCTGAGTCACCCAGAGCAGATAAATGTTTGTTCTCAAAGCTCTCTGGATAAATTGCCCACTAAGGCTCCTCATTCACATTTCTCCAGCTTTGATTGACATCCATTTCCTTTTCAAAGGTTTTCTCCATGGACATGGAGATCCTGTGGGGACCCCCACCCCCAACACAAAACCTTTCATATAATCAAGTCAAAGGTACCCTTTATTTTCTTTAGAGAAAGGAACTGTTTCTAGGACAGTATGTACAGGAGGCATAAAACCGCTGCCTGGAATACGGGGAATGTAGCTGACTTTTTAGCTACAGATATTCCTATATAAGATGATAACTTTTGTAGTGAGAAGGGGGTAGTTTAAAAAAACAAAAAGGGTCATATTTCTAAAAGTCACTAAAAAGGGAGAAAAGCCTACATGACTACAAGAAAAGTTAAAAAAAAAATCAACGTTGGTGTAGTTCACAGGTGGGGAGCCTGCGGCTCCAGGCCACACCTGGCCTTCTTAAAAAGGGGCAGCCTTCTGACTGAGTCCAAGTTTTACAACAAATACTTTTATTGAGGATTTGTTCTGTGAAGTTTGGATTCAATCAAATGGTTGCACTTCAGGACCTAGAGGGCCACATGTGGCCTAGAGGCTGCAGGTTCCCCACCCCGGTGTAGTTAGAGGTTTCATTTGGTAATATGAAAAGATATGACAAGATAATAGTGGAATTGTGGACATGTAAGCTTAGAGATGAAAACACTGAAATTGGAGCTTTGTAACCAGGGGAAATCTGCCTCAGGAGTCTGAGTCTTGGTTTCTCCGTCAGTAAAATGGGCTAATTATCTACCCACTGGCAAGGCCATAGGATCATTAGAAGTAGCCAGTAAGATTATATAGGTAAAGTCCTCTAAGATAACATGCTATATAAATGTCAACTATTATTTAAGACTTCATTGACGTCATAGAGGAGAGAGGATTATGGGTAGAGGTCTGGACCTGGAGCCAGGAAGACTGGCTCAAATCCAGCCTCAGACACTTGCTCACTGTGTGACCCTGGATGAATCACATGACCTCTATCGGCCTCAGATTCTCCAGCTGTAAAATGGGCATAATAATAGCACCTAATTCCTACTAGGGTTGTTGTGAGGATCAAATGAGATAATATTTGTAAAGTGCTTTGCAAACCTTAAAGCGCTGTATATTGTGGTTGTTTAGTTGTTTTTTCAGTCGTGTCTGACTCTTTGTGACCCCATTGGAGGTTTTCTTGGCAAAGATACTGGAGTAAATTTGCCATTTCCTTCTCCAGCTTATTTTACAGATGAGGAAACTGAGGCAAACAGGGTTAAGAGACTTGCCCAGGGTCACACAGCTAGTATGTGTCTGAGCCTGGACTTGAATTCAGGTTTTCCTGATTCTAGGCCTGGCACTCTAGCTACTGCAGTGCCACCTAGCTGCCCATAAAGAGCTATATAAATATTAGCCATTATGATTAATTATATAGTACCCTTGGTATTATGCTGGCATTACAGATTTTGGGGTTGGAAGGGATCTTAGAGGCTCTCTAGTAGACTGCCCCCCCAATTTTATAGATGAGAGAACTAAAAATCAAGGGTTGCGTGATTTGTCGAGGCTCACACAATTAGTAATAAATGACAATGCTTGAACCCAGGTCCTCGGACTCAAGGGCCAGTGTTCTGTTCATTGCACCAAGTTCCATTGTCAGTCTTGCTCAACTACTTGCTGCAACACTTGAAGGAAATGTAGCCTCATCCCAATTTATGAGGAGAGAGCTGAGCAAAGCCACAGTGGAAATCAGTCAGTATCTAAGCTAAGAATAGACCCCCAGTCTCCAGATGCCCTGATCCGTGTTTTTTCTAGTTTATCTCAAGTCATGTTGCTAAATAATCGACAAGCCTGATTTAAAAACATGGGAAAGAAATCAGAGAAAGGTGGTTTCAAAGAGAGATGAAACACAATAGACTGTGATTGATCCCCATGGGATTGCCTTCCTTCAAACCCCATGAATTATAATGGTTTCTTTGGAGAAACGTCTGATTGCTCCATTAATAAGGATGGGATTATTTCTTTTTGGAGTAGTAGCTTCCTAGCTAGGCAGTGCTCATGGGCTTGGAAATAATTGCTTCTTTTACTGTCCATCAGGGGTGAAGTTTGTGACAAGGTTTTCCTCAACACTAATCAATGTGAATAGTCTTCTGGTGGTGTCAAGCTGCTAGTCGTGGGACACTACAGTTTCTGAAGAATTTAAATTGAGGATTCCCTGAAGGGTCATGGAGAGGTGCTTGGTGGATGTATGCAGGCAGACCGAAATGCAATTCAAGCAAGGAATGATGAAGAAGAAACCGTGTAAAAGATGTCATCCAGGAAATAGACGAGCAAGAATAGAAGCTGGTCTGGTTATGTCATGAGAGCAAGGCAGACCTGATGGATAGCCTAGGTATTCCACTGGTATTCTCTAGATAGATAGAAATAGAATGAGACAGGTACATTGAGAGATAGAGTGAAATAGATATAGATAGATACAGATAGCTAGCTAGCTAGCTAGCTAGATAGAGATTGAGAAAGATTGAGGTGATAGGTAGGTAGATAGATAAATAGATGAACAGATAGAGATTGAGAAGGAGTGAGATGATAGGTAGATAGATGGATAGGTAGATAGACAAGTAGGTAGATAGATAAATAGATAAATAGATGAACAGTTAGAGATTGAGAGAGTGAGATGATAGGTAGGTAGATAGACAGGTAGATAGATAGACAGACAGGTAGAGAGATAGGTAGATAGACAGACAGGTAGGTAGGTAGATAGATAAATAGATGAACAGATAGAGATTGAGAAAGAGTGAGATGATAGATATACAGATAGGTAGATAGGAAGACAGGTTGATAAATAGACAGGTAGGTAGACAGATACAGACAGACAGGTACATAGGCAGACAGACAGGCAGACAGAGAAGTAGATAAATAGAGAGAGAGATAGAGAGAGGCAGACAAGCAGATAGATAGATAGATAGATAATAGATAGATAGATAGATAGATAGATAACAGACTACTGGGGATATAAACACAAGTACACCAGACAGTTCCTGTCTCCAAGAAGCAGTTATTATAAGGAGAGAAGAAAATATGTAAAGAGGTGTTAGAAACTGGGGAAGAGGAGGAGGGGAAGGATACCTCTGGGAGGGAGCAGCAAGACTGGCAAGGAGAAGAAAGTGGAGTGTGGAGAGAATTGAGGCGAGAGTGAGATGAAGCATGGCTGGGGTCCTTCCCAAAATGGTAGTACCAGGGAGGACCTCACCAATGGGGAGAAGAGGTCCCCAGCTCATAGGTTTATTGGGGAGGCAAGGTGGTTGGTGAAGAGAAAGATTTCAAGGTGAGGAAGGCCAGGGGCAGGTAGGTGGTGCAGTGAATGGAGCACTGGCCCTGGAGTCAGGAGGACCTGAATTCAAATATGACTTTAGACACTTACTAGCTGTGTGATCCTGGGCAAGTCACTTAATCCTGATTGCCTCAAAAAACCAAAACAAACCAAAGATTAAAAAAAAAAGTGAGTAAGGCCTATATAGTACATTGGGTGGACCTCCTATGGTGAACTTATGGGAGGACCTGGACAGGATCCTCACCTAGGATGAGGAGGCATAGATGGGTTGCAGTCTTCATTACTGAAGGAAATGTCCACATTATCACTGAAATCAGATATATTGGAGTATTAGTATGTCTTCAATGTAATCTGCCTTCAAATTAAAGGGGATATATACAGTATGATTTTTCCCAAGGTCAAGTGGGAAAGCTAATCTAAGGGGAAATGACTGACAGGTCCTAGACTGAAATTAAACTCATTTTAATTGTAATGTGGAACCAGGACGTGAATCCGAGATGTGTTGGTCATATAGTGAGAGAAACAATAGTGGCCAGATTGCCCACATGTTTGGCAGTTATCCTCCCAACATCCAGAGAACTTGAAGAAGGCTCCTGGTGCTCTGGCTGGGTCCCCTGGAGTACACATGGGAGAACCAAGATGAATGCCACACTGGATGGGTAGGCATAGACAGGATAATGAGCTGTTGTTTTGGAAGGGCTGCATCCATATTAGTGAGATCACAAATCCATTGATGTGTTCGAGTCTGTTTGCATCAGAAGAGGTTCCTGAACCATTGGTTCAGGGTAAACTCTTTTAAAAAAACAACCCAATAAAACTTCTATTTTTTTTAACTTGACATTCTTAAGCCAGTGACTGAGACTTGAGAGGCTTCTGAATTATCTTTGAAAAAAAAGTCAACTCGCCCTGCCCCCCCCAAATAAAACCCACCAAAAACCAAAGACCAGAACAAAACACATAGACCTAATACTTCAGCTCAGTAAATGTGAAAATTATTATGAAAGTCTTACTACATTTTTCTCTTCTGTTGATTAGTGCGGAGGGGAAGAGCAGCAGGTTGTCACTCGCACCATACAAGTTGGTCAACACCAAACCCCAGAAACAGATGCATACGTGGCTGAGAAGTTTTGTGATAACCGGATTGTGTCCTCCAAGGTGAGTTGATTGAATTCATTTCTGGACTTTTTTGTCCGCTGGACCCTGCCCTATATTTGTATTTCTTTCTGCTTTTGAGGAGAGGGGCTTATTTCTTTTTCTTTCCAGAAATTATTCCTTAATGTTTCTGAAATCTATAGAATCTCGGAAAATTCCACAATATGCAGGTTTCTTTTGGTGCCAAGCCTTTGTAATAATCCGGACTGAAAAGCACACTAAGACATAAATGAATTCTGCTCTCCCTCCCCTTCTCCTCTGCTCCTTTTCTGATTTAGTCATAAGCTCTCAAATGGAAGGGACATTTTTTCCCTCTTGAATCTTATCACATTGTCATGTTTAAAGATGAAGGCCTATTTAGTATCCTCGATTTTAGGCTCAAAGCCCCTATTGATAGTTATAAATTTTTGAGTCAGGCTTGAAATTGTGATAAAAATGAAAGTGATTTATTCCCCAAACCTTGCCTGAGATACCAGGGATGGTTGGCGTAAGATTTCAATTCCCCCAGCCTCTGACAAAGAGGTGGCCCTTCTTGCCAAGGCCAACCTCTCTACATGTGTGCTTGCTCCCATCCCTTCCTCTTTTCTCCCTCCAGTAGATTGCATCCTCAATCATCCTGTCTCACTTGAGTCTTCAGCCTCTCTATCTACTCTTTCCATCTCTACTTCCTTCAATCAAGCCCATGTCAATCTCATCCTTAAAAAACCTTTCCTAGACCCTAGCATCTCCTCAAGTTGTTTTATATCTCCCCTCCCTTTCTCAGCCTAACTCCTAGAACAAAGTTGTCCATGCTTCCTGTCCTCTTGCTTACTTCTCAACCCTTAGCAATTTGGCTTCTGACCTCATCACTCTGCTGAAATTGCTTTCTCCAGAGTTACCAGTGAACTCTAATTCCCAAGTATGATGGCCTTTTCTCAGTTCTCATTCTCAGCCATCTGCTGCAATTGACACTGGTGACCACCCTCTTCTCCTTGATATTGTCTCCTAGATTTTCATGACGTTACTCTTTCCTTACCTGTCTGAGGTAAGGCTGGCTCATCATTCACATCGTGCCTCCTCACTGTGGGTATTCGCCAGGGTTCTGTTCTAGGCCCTCTCCTCTTCTCTGCCTGCAGTCTCTATCTTGGTAGCCTCATCAGCTCCTGTGGGTTTCATTATCTTCCCTGCAGATAACCCCTGCATCTCTCTATCCATCTGGACTCACATCATTAATTGCCTATTGGGTATTCCAAACTGGGTGTTCCAGAGTTAGCCATCTTTCTGCTCAAACACTCCCCTCTTCCAAACTTCCCCATTTCTGTGGAAGGTACCACCATCCTCCCAGTTTCCCAGGTTTTCAACCTTGGCCTTATCCCAGACTTCTTATTTTCCCTTATCCCACACATCCATTTGGTTGCCAACATCTTCTACATCTGGCTTCTTCTCCCCATTCACACAGCTACTACCTTAATTTAAGCTCTCATCATCTCTTATTTTTCCCTCCCCGTTCCAGTGGACCCTCCACATATTTCCCAAAACCATTTTCCTTAAGTGTAGATCTGACCGTGTGACTCTGATATTCAGCCAACTGGTGTGACTTCCCCATTGCCTCTAGGCTAAAAAGATAAACTCCTGTTTAGCTTTTAAAACTCTTCACCACTTGGCCCCAACCTTCCTCTACTCTACTCTAACCAAACTGATTTTCTCTTTTCTTTACATGTCATTCCACTTCCCATCTCCATGCCTCTGCAGGGGCTGTATCCTGTGCTAGGGTATGTTACTTTCTTATCTGTGCCTCATAGAATCTCTCTCTTCCAATTAGATGCTGCTTAAGCGCATCTTCTGTATGAAGCCTTTCCTGATCCCCCTAACTTTTGGTGCCCTCCCTCCCAAATACTACCTTTTATTTAGTTACTTTGTATATATTTGTATTAATTCAATTTATATTTGTGATATATAATATATATATTTACATATGCTTGTCATGTCCTCCATTAAATTGTAAATCCTTTGGTTACTACAGGAATTGTTTCATTCTTTGTACTTGTATGCTGAGCCTAGCACAGTGCTTGACGCATAGTCAGTGCTTAATAACTACTTGTTGATGGATCGATTGGTTGATGTGGTAGCTTATATAATGAAGAGGGCTTGTGAATAAATAGGGTGTTGTGGGAGGAAATTTGCCAATTAATGAGACCATTGATCCATTTGAGTTTAATTTTTAGCTCATCCTCTTTTTCCAATATATCCCTTACCTCTTCCCTGTCCAACAAGCCATCCTTTGTAACAAAGATTCAAAACAAAAGAGAAAAAGCAGCTCAGCAAAATCAGTTAGTATGCCAATGGTGTCTGAAAGTATATACAATATTCCACCCTCTAATAGTCCCTCACCTCTTCAAAGAGGAGAGGAAGGCATATTTTGTCAGTTCCTCTCTGGGCCCAAACTTGGTTATTATAACCATATGGCATCCTATTATGTTTTTATTTTCTCTTGTTTACATTGTTATAGTCATCTGCTTAATTTGCTCTGCATCAGTTCATATAAATTTTTTCGTGGTTCTTAGAATTATTCATATTCCTCATTCCTTATAGAGCAACAATATCTAATTATATTCATGTAGTATGATTTGTTTAACCATTCCCTCAATCAATGGGCATCTACTTTGTTTCCAATTCCTTGCTATCTAAAAAAAGTGCTGCTATGACTACTTTGGCATCTGTGGGACCTTTCTTTCTGTGTTTGATTTCTGTGTCACATTTGCCTAGTATTGGGATCTCTGGGTCAAAAGAACATGAACATTCTAGTCATTGTCTTAGTATAACTCCAGATTACTTTTGAGAGTGCTTGGATCAGTTCATAGCTCCACCAACAATATATTAGCGTGCCTGTTTTTCCACAGCCTCTTCAACATTGATTTTGCCTTGTCATCTTTGACAATCTGCTGGGTATGAGGTAAAATCCTGGTTGTTTTGGTTTACATCTTACTATTAGTGATTCAGAGAAGTCTTTTATATGGTTATTATTAGTGTGCAATTCTTTTAGGAGCTGTTTATTAATATCCTTTGACCTCTTATCCATTGGGAAATGGCTCCTGGTCTTATATATCTGTATTAATTCCCTGTATATCCTTAGTATCTGACTGTTATCAGTGAAATTGGATGCAAAGATTTTTTCCCCCACAGGAATATTTTTGTAAGTATCTATCTAGCTGGCAAATCAGCATATTTGTACAACTGGGTTGGAGAGAATCCCCTTACTTCCACCCAAGATATCCCTCTTAGTGTCTTCCCTGGCATCCTCTTAAAATAATGGTCTATGTCTTGCCTCCTCCATCCCTTATTTCACAACATAGCCAGGGACATGAAAAATGTAAGACTGAGACAACAGGTATACATGGTAGTTTTATATAGAGATTAAGACTTACCTTGTTGAGAATTGGGAGATAGAATGCTATCATGAGAGATACTTTGTAATATTTCTTTTTGTAAAAGCACATTTTTTTTGCATGACTTCACACGTATAATTGAGATCATATTGCTTGCCTTCTCAATGGGTGGAGGAGGGGTGAGAAGGAAGGGAGAGAATTGGAAACTCAACATTTAAAAAAAATGTTAAAGATAAAAAGAGGTAAGAGAATCTGAATTAAAAAAAGTAAAAGCACATTTTAATTCCAGAAAATTCTGATTCTATAGCACATAAGGATTTATTTTTGTGTAATCAGTTAAATAGCAGCATAATGTGGGTGCTGAAGGACTGACTTTGCAGTCTGGAATACCAGGTTCTAATCCTGCCTGTGTGACCTGGGCAAGTCATTTAGCCTTTCAGTGTCTCGGGCAACCCTCTAAGACTAATTGCCAATCTGCATCAGTGGAGGGAGATTCCATGCTGTGAATTTCTTATACTGATGAAATCACGGGTCCAGATGATTTTTTAAAAAGCGGCTTGTGTTGTTGCAGAGGCTCAAAGACTGTGGCAGAGATGTTTTCTCATAAATGTCTTTGTCTGCGATTATCACCAGAGCTGTTCTCTGATTGCAGAGGCCTCCTCATGGTGGGGAAGTGATATGTCTGGCAGTTTGAAAGATTCCTTAGGGATGAGCCCAATGATGGATTCTGGCTGAGAGGCAGTGTAGTGTTTCTGGGCTTGTCATTTCAACTCCCTGGGTCTCAGTTTCCTCATTTGTAAAATGGGGGGATTGGATAAATGGCTTCTAAGCTCTCTTCCCACACTAGATCTAGGGATCTGATGTGTGGTGTTGTGCCTTAGTTTCTTCCTATGTACAATGAGTGTTGGACTAAATGACCTTTGAGGTGCCTTCCAGTGACCTTGGGCCAGTCATGTCACCTCCCTGGTCCTCAGTTTCTTCCTCTGTACGATGAGAGGGTTATATTAGATGGCCCGTGAAATTTCTTCTTGTTCTAAATCTATAATCTTGTGATCCTTTGCTTTCCAAGGACTCTCCTAGGGTCAGTATGAAGTGGCCTACCATCAGAAGTTTGACCACTAGGAAATGAATTCCTTGACCATAGTGAAATGATCACATGATATAACTTATGTAAAGTACTTTGCAAACCTTAAAGCTATATAAAAGCTGCTATTATTATTTTTCTTGTTATCATGATCAATGATAATAAAAACAACTATATAATATTAAATCATAGAATGGCTCCTAGTCCTTATACTAATGGTGGCACAGGTTTTCCAACATCTACACAGAGTAATATAACTGTTGGAAGCCTTCATGTGCAGTCTTGGCCCCCTGACCAGTAAGTTGATCCACCTACATGAGGAATTAAACCACATCCATACTGACATTCTCAGGGTAAATGTAACCAGAGGAATGAATAAAGTAAGTATTGGAGTTGATTTAATCAATCATTTAAAGGCTACTAGAAGTGGCATTTCCTGAGATATTTGGTCAAGTGGCTGTGCCAGGTTCATGTTGAGTGAGAGCCAACTGAGCACCATGGACAGAAGTGTAGCAGATGCACTAATATCTGTGGCAGAGGTTGAAAAATTAAAG